CATATGATTATTTAAGTTTATTTACTCTAAATTTAATGCTTTATTCTAATATAAGTTTGTCTAATAAGGATCTGAAAATAAATACAACATATTTGTAAAAGTATTGTTAGTTTTAACCAGCGATCTATATATGTTTTTAAAGTTTAGCACGATGGCTTTTTAAGCACTAAACTGACGAATTTAACTTTTATATATTAAAATAATACCAATTTTTAGCTCTTATCTACTTTAATAAGAAAAACCTTCTGTGCGGGATTATTTGAGATTATCTTAACTAAGGTTCTAAGCTAATCAAACTATTTTAGTATCTAATAATTATTTTAAAAAAAAATTTTTTGTAATATGGTTGAGTATAGAAAAAACATGCATAAGAGCCAATCAAATACGAGAATTAGCCTGTAGATTATTCTAGAATGCGATTTTCTAATTTGGTATATCCCTGGACAGCAATAAACTAAAGAACTGGCATAACCAAAAACTCATTTGGAAAGACCCAAATTTGGATATAATAGTGATTTTCAACAATACACAGGAGGACTAGTGCCCGAGATTAGAAAACTGAGTGATCAGATTCTTAAGTGGGGGTATATTAGCCAAACTGCCAGGCCAATGCACTGGAGGAAAAGGACATACACTTTGAAAGTATAGACCAAGAGGAGAGTATCCTTCAGGCATCTAAAGCCTAAGCAGACCAACTTATCCAGGTTGCTAATTAGAAGTAAAGAAGAGACTGATAGAGAATCCAGGTAAGGAGATAGTTCCAAATATAGGTACTGGGGTTGTTGTGAATCAATTAAAAGCAATGAGTATGTAATGAGAAACTAATTAGGAAGGTTGTGGCTTAAAATACAGATCAAGTTACAACAGTACTCTAAAAGGTAGCTTGAGATACAAACTCGGTAATGGCAATACAACAGATGAAGATATGTGTGGGCATGTACTGCTCTGTTGAGTTTATCTTAGAAAATAGTAAAGTTTTTAAGTTGGCTGTTTATATAGTTGTGTCGCAAAATTTACGTTTGAATAGTGAGTTATATTTGCATTAAGATGAGTATTAGGCAAATATATTAAGACTAGAAGGTTTAAATAAATACTCCTGTAGTTGGGGTAGTGTAGAACTTTTAGTATAGCACAACTACTTTGGGTAGGCTACTTAAATTAGATAACTGCACGTGTGGCTTGATGTACCTTTATTACAATATATAGTGTCTGAACTTGATTTAATAAAAATCATTGACCAAGAAGGTCTCCTTTAATTAAAATATATATATATATATATATATATAAATTTTTATTAGAGTTATTAAACTTCATTATTAAAAATAATCTAAATTAAGAGTTGGGATCCCATGGCCTAGCAGTCTAGGCACCCAATTTTCCACGAGCAGGTTTCGAGTTCAAGTCCTAGTTGGTATGTTTATTTACAAATATTTGGAAGTGAATACAGGTCTGGATTAGAAATTTCTAGAAAGAGGTTCATTGTGAAGTAGTTGGCACTATGTGTAACAAAAGTTATTATAGAAAGTTCTATTACACAAAGACTGTGCATATAAATCTGCAATTGGCAAGATAGTACTAACAACCCCTAAGGCAACATTGGGGATCTTGTCTAGGAAGACAACTAGAATTAGAAGTAGTGAGAAATGTGATGAATACAAAGAGACCTGTGATAAAAAATTAGCCTTACCAGATTTGGAACACCTCTGGCTCCTGTACTACTACTAGATTGAATTAGATTTCTATATATAGAGTAAAGTTAGCAGGCAACTTGGGATATGCTTAAAATGGACAAAACACAGCAAGGTCATACCCAACTGGAAGTACTTGCCTGGTCACCAGGTCACTAGAGCTGCACTAGTTGTATATTCTTTGGTTACTTTGTTAACTAGGTGATTAGTAGAAGATCCTAGGATGAGATTTAAAAAAAGAAACAAGTACAATCTTCCTTATTATATATAATATTGATAATATGCATGCAGGACTTAATAACAAATACTTCTCCAATTAGTGGGTCTCACAGGTTATAGACATTAAAACTTTCAACTGAGTTTTTCAGAGTATATATTGTACTACTTCTAGTATTATATATTGGTATTTTAAAGTTGGTATTCCTGTGTTCTGTTTTGTGTTTAAGATATAAACTGGGTTACAGTAGCATTACAAATAATAGCTTGAAATACGAACTCAGTAATAGCAGACAATATGTACTACACCAATTTAGAAGTAGCCATGAGGCTATGCTTACCTGGTGCCCCCTAGTGGGATTTGTAACAGATACTGTACTGGAACTATATTGGGAGTGTAAGTTTGTTAATATAAGAAATATGGAGAATATATTAAAGTTAAAATAGAATATTTAGTTAGTAGTATACAAAATCTAGGTAATACATAAGTGGAACATAGACAGCTCTGGTAAGTATAGATCATAGATAATTAGTCTAAGCTACTGTTTTATTAATTGTAGTATAAATGTATATTATATACGTATATACCTAATAAATAATATAAGGCAAAATTTCATCTTAAAAAAAAAATAAATAAAATAATCTAAATTAATTCTAGTTTTAGAGAAATTAGTATAATAATAACCTATCTTTAAAAAGCCATTATTAATTTTTTTTAATAGTAAAATTTTACAACTCTAATAAAAATTTTTATATATTTATTTTTTGGTTATTTTTTGTAGATTTATTTTTTCTAAAAAATATTTTAAACTATATAAATAATATAAAATTACCGTAAACTGCCATATAGATGATCTGGTGTGACAAATAATATAGATTTATTTTTAAAATATTATTTATAAATCACGTGATATGTAATACATATGATTTGAAAATTTTTCAATTGTAAAAAATTGTATCACACCAGGTTATCTATACAGCAGTTTATAGTAATTTAAATTTATTAACCAATCAGATAAACTTCTGTCTATAATTTCTAAAGATATAAAAAAAAATAACTAAGCATGATTAATCATTTATAATCAATTATATGAAAATCAAAAAAATTTAATTATTCACTATTTCTATACTATAGATAAAAATAATTAGTTTTATTTAATATTTTGAATAGCAGCAGTGAGCTTTATATTATTTGAAAAATCAAGCTTAGTTTATTCAAACTTTTTGTATGTCTCAACTAACAATAATAATAGTTAGTATGATTTTGTAAAATTAATTAATTTTTCATTTAACAACAAAATATTTGGCCATTATTTGTTTATCACTCTGTATAGAATTCTTTTATTAGTATAGTTATATTTATATATAGTTCACTTTGTAATAAAGTGGTATTTATCTTTTAATAACTTTAAAATAAATTAAGTCAAGTTTTGATATCCCTGTTAACACTAAATTCATGCAAAATAAATTTTAAATTTGTACAAAGTAACTTTAAATTTATATATACAAGATAACTTTTAAATTTACATAAAGTGTTTTTTAAATTTGTGCAAAAGAATATTGTAATTTAGATTAATTAAATTGCAATATATAGTAATTTAGTAATCTGATTTTAATACTTTTTAAATTCTCTCAATAAAACAATTCATTAATATCAAAATTATCAAATTTAAATTATTAGATTATGAGATATTATGCTTTAATTAATCTAAATTATAATATATTTTTGTATAAATTTGAAAAAGTTATCTTGTATAAATTTAAAAGTTAGTATAAAATTAAAAGTTATTTTATATAAATTTGGTGTTAAAAGAAATATAATAATACTATAGTAGTTACTTATTTGGAAGTAAATTATGTTAACTTATTTCTGATAACTTTAGTTTGATACTTTTTAAGCTTTTTTGCTTAAATTTTCAAGATAAACATTTATAAAAGTTTTTGTCATAGGCTGTATAAGGCAAATTAAAATTTTATAATATATATTATATATAATATATTTATAAAAAATATAATTTTTTATTTTTGTTATTTTGTAAGTAAAATAAGTTTTAAATAATGTCTTGATTTCAGGTTTAGAAATATGGTTAACATTTTTAAATTTATTGTTTTTGCATTAAAACTTTTAAACTAAAATAAAATATTTTTAAAAATTTTATTATTTCTGTTTTTTAAAACTTTTTTTAGAGAATTTTATAGTTATACTTTTTTAAATAATTAAAATTTATTCTATAGACAGAGTTGAGCTTCTATCTTTGTACAGCTTAGTTTAGCTTAATGTGTAGTTTTTACTCTTAGACAAATATTGTATATAGGTTTCTTTTTTTAAAATATCTTTTTTAACTGCAAAAATAAATATTATATTTATTTAAAATGAAAATATCAACAAGTATATCTAATTTTCAATTTTATATGTCAAGAAGATATTAGCAAGCATAATTTGATTTATTAGCAAATATTAGTAAGTAGTTATATTCTTGATGTATAACAATAATTCCAAAGTATGGGTTTACAATAAGTAAGAAAATCTTAATAAGATTATATATATGTTATATAATCAAAAAAATTATATAAAATTATTAAATAGGAATGGTGTTCAATATACTATATAACTATATAGTATTGTATAAAAATATATATTAAGCTCTAGTATTAAAAATCTAATATTTTTAACTTATATAGTATTGTATAAAAATATATATTAAGCTCTAGTATTAAAAATCTAATATTTTTAACTTTTCTAGTATATAATATTATTTTTGCAAATTTACATTAAAATTTCTAATTTTTTTTTTTACTAACAAATATTTGCAATTATCCTACATCCCAATATGATCGCATGATGGAAATTTACGTTTTATTTTTTTACACTTTTATCACTAAAATTGTATTAGAGTTTTTATATACAGTTATTCCCCTATATAAGCTATTATTACTTATTGTTATTTCCCCAGAAAATATCAAATTTTTATTTTTTTTAATTGGGAAAAACATAGTTAGGAATATAAAGCTAAAAATACTTTAAAGTTCTAATTTGTATTAATTTGTAATAAAAGAAATTACATAAAATTCAAATACATTATTTCATAGTAATTTTTATTTCAATATTGCAATTAGAACAATTTTCAACAATAATTCTTGAGCAGAATTTGAAGTAATAGCCAGAAGAATCTCTTGTGTATCTTCTTTAATAATTTTTGCCAGAAGAATCTCTTGTGTATTTTTTTCAATAATTTTTGCTAAAGATTTTTTGAGTGGACTGACAAATAGCTTTAATGCATCGAATGGTTTAAAAGGTCTTGGTTTTGTAATTCTAGGACAAATTCGATGAGCTATTTGATTGTCTAAATTAAAAATAGATACAAGTGGTGGTCGTAATGATTCTGGAGATTCTACAATATTTTGTCAATTAATATTTTCTAAAAATGAATTATTAAAATAAAATTGATAATTACCTGAAATAATCATAGCAACAGTAGTATTCATTATTTCTTTTGTGAAAGTTTGATATGAAGCAACACCACCAAGTGAACAATGTCCACTAAATGCCATAATTCGATCAGTATTTACATTAAGCTGTGTAAGCATTTAAATTGCAGTTCTTCTTAGTGAATGATTGGTTATTTTTTTTAGGTTCATATTAATAACACCCGTTGTTTCACATATTTTTCTAATCATTTTTTCATGAGCATAGCATCCAAGTGGAGAATCATAAAACCAGACACCTTTATCGAAATCTAGTAACAAAATGTATATTAATTAATCATATAACAGTAAAAAAATAAAAATAAATAAATACCTTTTTTATAAGCAATTTTTAAGAAAATTTTTTTCGATGTAAAGTGTTTTCCATGCTGAAGCATATAGTATAGAATATTACAAACTAGAGTAAATTTATCTTCTGTATTAGGTGGTATTTGACATACTTGACCTGAATTATTTAAATTTTTTAAACCACCTGCATGATTCTTTTCATGAGGTATAATAACAGTTAGACTATTCAAATCACTTTCCTTTATATTATTAAATTGAAGTCATTTGGCATCTCCACTACATAAGCCACACAAGAGACATAGCCAAAAGTAAACTCTATATGTAATAGCAGTAGGTGTATCTTGTAAAAGTTCTTTATGGTTCAATATTTGAGCTATTTTATTATTTGTAAATGAATTACTTTTATTAACTCTTCACAAACTTGTATCTTGAACTAACTTAATTTTCCCATTAATTGTTGAGTATAAATGGGGAAATTGATTTTTATCGAATATATTTGGCTTGGGATCTTGACAGAATTTATTTAAAAGATGCCAGGCAATTCTACAGTAACAATTGTAAATTGACATAGGTGCATATAGTTGTCTATCCTTTCTTTTTAAGGCAACAAAAAATCTAATAAGAATATCCTCCAACTCAGTATGACTTTTAACTTGTATAATATTACCAGAAAGACTTAGATTTTTAAAGTATTCATTGATTGTATTTATCCAAGTTTGGGTATTATGTTTAGTATTTTCCACTTTATAATGTGATCAATGTCTTTCTGAGAAGGTGCTTAAAAACGAAACTAAAAAAAAGTTAAAAGTATTATAAAATATTATAATTTCTATTAACTAATCTAAATATAAAATAAAAACCCTAGTTCTATCTTCATTTTGACCTTCTTTATCACTAGTTTCAAATTCGTTCTCACAAAAATAATCATTATCAAGAGTGCCGTCACTACTATCAATACTGTTAACAGAGGTACTAGAAGTGAAATTTCTTTTTTTTTAGCCTGGTAATTTTCATAAATTAAACTTTCTATGATATGATAAAAGATTTAATTAATAATATGAATTACATCTCATATGGAACAAAAGATAATTAATTTATTCCTCAGGTTGGAGAAATAATGAAATATTCTCCCTGGCAGTACTTGAAAAATATGATATAGAATGTAATTTACCACTTACGCAGCAGGTCACATTCTATATCATACTTTTCAAGCACCACCAGGGAGATATTTTATTATTCCCACCAACCCGGGGAATAAATAGCATTTATTCAATTTAATACACTACTATTTTTACTGCTATTTGTAAAAATATATAGAATAGTACAGATTACCTTATTACAGAAAATTTGAAATTTTCAAAATTCTTAGTTTTTAAATTTAACTTGTAATAGTGAAAGTTTCTTACCAATTTTCTGGTAAATATAGTTTTTTTGGTTATACAAGTATTGAATTAAAATAAAAATAATTTTAATAATATTATTTAAAAATTTTTCCAATTAAATATTAGATATAAGGAATTGCTATTCATACCTCAAATTTGCTAGCTATACTTTTATACAAATTAAAGTTTTTTTTGAACTTTGAGCAAAAATAGCTCAACAACTACCATGTTAAATTTGACAAACTTTTTTATTTGAATTTTATACATTTATAAAATTCAAATAAAAAAAGCTCATTGAATTTTGCCTGGTAGTTGTTAAGATATCTTTGCTCAAAGTCTTAATATATCAATCAAAACTCAATTTTTCTTATTTATTTGAGCAAAAATATCTCACTACTCACTATATCAAATTCAATAAACTTTTTTTTAGCTAAATTCTAAGAATCTGTAGAATTAGAATAAAAAAACTTAGTTGAATTTGGCTTGATGATTGTTAAGATAACTTCGATCAAAGTTTTAAAATCTTAATGCCTATAAAAGTAGAAGCTATGCTAAACTTTTTCTAAAATTTGAATAAAGATATATTAACTAGAGGTTGGAACCAGTTGTAATTTTAAGAACTGAATTAATTTTTGCATATAATATAAAACTAGTTACAATTTGATTTAAATCAATTGGAAATTAAACCAAATTATAAGTCATATAAAACCAGTTGTGATTTAGCTTAAACTGGTTTAAAATTAAGCTGAATTATGCAATTTGATGTAAATAGCAAAACTTTGAGAATTAAATTTATACTACCTTTATATGATATAATGTAATTGCTATAAATGCTGTATGAAGTTAAATTTTAGCATTAATTGACAATTTTAAGCTGTGTAATTTCAAGTGTTAACTTCAAACACACTAAACTATGATGAAGAAAAAGTCTTTTTATAATAAAGAGTAAAAATTCAAATATTAATTTGTATTGTATATTAGATATTGTTAAAATAATAATAACCTTTAAATAAAATTTGTATTGCAAATTTGGTAAATTGAATTATGTACTGAAGTATTTTTCAATAGAAATAAATTTAGTTTTGCATACTTAATATTGAAATGCTTATACAATGTATACAATATTTAATAAGCAGAAAGCATTTGCATACATAATGTTTAAGCTATTGAGTTAAAAGCATTTCAATATACTTGCCAGCACTATTATATTTGAAATATTTTAATATACTTATTGTTTCGCTTTAAAAATAAAAACTTATTTACTAGATCTGGTGATAGTCGTGTTCTTTTTGCTATAACATAGTTATTAGCATTAGAAATTAATCTTTCAGAAAGAACTGAAGTTGCTGGAATTGAAAAATATTTTTTGGTCAATTGGCAATTCAGCCTTATGTGATTTCCACCAATTAATTGGATCTTTATTAAGCGCAATGCTATCCAAAGTTAGGTAATATGTTACTTCATCTAGTTCAGTCAATTCTAATGCCTGGTGAGGTATAGTTTTCAATTGATTAAAAAAATTATTATTATTATTGTCTTTATTATTGTCATGAGTTGATAAAGTGCTTGCTAAAAAATTATTTAAATTTAATAGAACCAATGCTGTTTTTCTCTCAATATAGGATCATTTAAGTAAACTTTTTGCATTGGCTAATTAATTTGGTGCCTATTGAAAAACTTTAAACCGTGGATCAAGAATAGATGTCATTAATACAATATTAAAAGGTATAGTCCATAACTTATCCAGAGACAAAAATATAGCAGCTCAAACTTTTTGCAACAAACCATTTGGATTAATTAAAGGCAAGTATTTGATTTTATTATTATTAATACTTTGCTGTACTTGTTTTTTGATTTAAATTTTCTTTTTACTCTGACTTTTTTTTTTTCTATTTTTTATATGTTGCCGAAATTGTCTATAAGCATACTGCCAATGTTGCCAAGTTCTACAACTTGGTATATTATCATCCTCACTAACTAAACTTGAATCATCTGTACTTTTCTCATTGTTATTATTAGAATCATGACCATAAATTAGGTTAAGATATTGTTGTTTTATTTCTCCTTTATCTAATTGTGGAGCAAATGACTTCTTAAGAATTTTTATATATGGATATATAGTACTAAATATTGAATAATTTATGCCAGAAAGGGTGTGGCGACATAGCGAAGTGGTAAAGTTGTTACCCCCCAAGTAGCAAGGTCTAGGGTTCGAATCCTACCAGTGACAAAAATTTGAAAACTACTCCTTGTATATTCCTTCCGGATATGTCAACTTAATCTGTAGTGGCATCGTATGCTATAACCGAAAAGGCACGGACCAGGGGTACTGCTCCTGGGAGTACTGCGGTGTAACAAGATCTACAGTAGAGCGTTCATTTGGGGAAGACCCGGATAAAGGAATGCAAACTGGTGCATGTTGGCACAAACACAAGATAAGCCTCTATGGTAGACCCTGATATAGAAGTGGTACAAATATCAAGACCTCCGGACTAACCAGATTAGAAAGAACTACTTGCAAATCCCGAGTATAGTGTTCAATTTGGAAAAAGATGAAAAATAGAGGGTTGGGGCCTCTTGAAAAATAGTTTGAAGTAAGGATTGAAGAAATACAAACCGGTTTAGTCAGTGTAAATACAAGATAAATCTATATACGAGTTAGGATAGACATATAAAGTAGGATTATATAGTTTAAATCGTAACTGTATATAGAAATATGTACTTCACCAAAAACAGTTCGAAAAACAAACACAAACACTAGTCTTTTACATGTCTAAGATTCGAGGATAAGACTTTAAAACTTGGGTAACCAGGTTGGGATAGTCCTCAAAATTATCAGCCATCTCTGATCTTCCTTCCGCCATCTCACACAATACTACACAAATATCGCTTACTCTGAAGCTGAAAAAATTCTTTTGGAAAAACATAATATAAACTTCGAAATCTCTATTAAAATTGAAGATTCATTATTCTTTAATGAATCTCGTTTTCATTAAATTTGTCTTCTACAAACTCCATTAATGCAGCCACCGCCTCTCTAAAAGATACACTCCTTGTAGTTAG